ACAGCTCTGTGCCTGGGGGGGGGGGGGGGGGCAGACTGACTCAGTCAGTGAAGAGACTGGCAAAACAGAGGGTCTTTTCAATGGATCTAATCTCAGTGGAATGCCACGTGACTGCATTTTTTCCTATTTGATATTTAAAAACAGGAAATTGCAGAAAATAAAACTGTTAAAAGAACATTAAGGATCCAGAGTCAGACATTCCAAAGTAAGGTAAAGACAGAATTAAGGTTGCCTTTGCAACCTAATTGGGCTCCCTTCTGCATATGCATTATTACAGTCTTTAGTTATCTGATCAAATGGTACTTTTTCCACAGGGCCCTTGCCTCATTCAATGCACAGGGAGGACAGTACTCAATTAGTGAGCAGCCACTGAGTATATGTTTGTCCTTGTTTTTCACTGTATGGTCCTTATGCCTATTTACTTGATGCTATTCAAACCCTGCTTTGAAGACATTTATTAATTGCCTCATGGGCTTTTCTGTTATGCTTGTCTCTAGAGTATCTGAGCGGTGCACAAATATTAATTTATTGTCACAATTCATTTCTGAGATGTGGTAATAATATCCCCATTTTACAGATGAGAAACTGAGGGCACAGGGTATTACACATCTTTTTCTAGACGTAAAAGCCAGTTATTGAGGATGTAAGTGGGCATGTGGGTCTTTTCAGGCCAGCCTCCAAGGGTACGTTTACACTGCAGTAAAACACACGAAGCTGGCACGTGTCAGCTGTCTCGGGTGCACAAGACTTGAGCTCTGGGACAATATAATTGCAGTACAGACCTCCATGCTTGGGCTAGAGCCTGGGCTCTCGGGTCTTGTGGGATGAAGGTACCATAAACCAAGCTCCACCCTGAGTCCAGAGGTCTACACTGTCATTTTATAACCCTACAACCCAAGCTCTTTAAGCCCAAGTCAGTTGACATGGATCAGCTGCAGATGTTTATTGCAATGTAGAAATACCCCCAGTAGCCTGAGAGCTCCAAATGCCTCCCTGCAGTTTAATCTAATCATTACTATATGAGTGGACATCTAGTCTTGGAGAAAGATAGTTAAGAGGAATATTTCTTTTTCCTTTACAGCTCAAAATAAAGAGGGAATAATTTAGCCTTTTTCCTAGGAGGGGAGGGAGGTATTTTGTTGTTGCTGGCTAGAGAAGAGTGTTTGTTAACATAAAGATTATTTTCAGGGGCAATATAGAGGAAATTTGAGTTAACTCATTCTGCAGAAAATAAGTTCTTGATTTGTTTTTAATAGAGCACAGTTCTCCTTCAAGTGATGGTCCCTATGTGTCTTCCAGTGTGAGTACATGTATGCTTCATATGCATGAGACCGGAAGATTTTAACTAGCATTGTCTGTTGGTTTGCACCAACAAACTGAGTTGACAAACTTCTACAAGAACTCATATTCACCTGAGACGGAGTTCATGCAATGAGATCTCGTAGCGTAGTTTCCGCTGGGCCCTAAAGTTTGGACAAGCAGTTTACGAAACTTGGGGGAAAAAAATTCCTTTCCTTCATCTGTGCTTAGTATGTTTAGGTCACGTACAGTGTGACTATGGTATATTATATAAACAGGGAGCTAGGTTCCTCTGTCTTTGTGCAGAAGTATCAGATGCTGGAATTAGTGTATCCATCACAAGATCACCTTCTCACCAGCACACCACTTAGGAGTTATGAACACCTTGGTGCCAGTCTCTGCAGGCACTTCCACAAGAACCATGAATGAGAGCAGCCCAATCCTGAACACATATACCACAGCTAAACAGCCCCTGTGACTGAGTTGCTTACCCTGAGTCAGCAACCATGGGCAAGCCATTGGTGTCTAATTACTGTGTAGATATAACCTAAGCCTATTCCATTATCCACGCCCCTCCCTGTCTGCTTCAGATTTTTTCTGAAGATGATTTTCAATAAAGAAGGCACAGGATGACAGTTAGCTCACTGTGATCTCAGTCAGGAACATGAGGCACAGGGTGCTGGTGCAGACCAACAAGTATTGCTAGTAAAAACATTTGTGGTCTCCAACAAAACGTAGGGATCACACATCTTGGAGAACTCTAGTTACAGGTAGGTTAAATAACATTCCTGTAGCATTTAATGGACAGATAATTTGTTCAGCAGAACCCTAAAAGCTTTCTAGCTCCCTCTGCTTCACCATCCATTCTAGTATAGTTTGAGCAGATTTAGTGAAATAGCTGTAGAATTAAAAATAGGCGGCATTCTCTAACTTGCAGTAAATACTGCTGTGTGATCAAATGGCTACCATATTGAAACCATGTTACCATGGATGATTTACTGTGCTAGTTAGTATCTTGTTTTCCCTTGATGTAAATTTTTAATATAAATTATTTTATCTCACTTCAAATAATTAATCTATTCTGCACAACTACATACCCCTGCTTATTCCATTATGCAAAACCTAGTAGGGAAAACCTTTTTCTCTTTCTAGTTTTTTTTGTAACCCGTGTTTCCCAGCCAAGTTGTAAAACAAAAAATCCCAGTATTTATGTATAAGACACTTAAACGCTCTTTCTGTTTTTCTTTCCTGTTTCATTCCAGCACACAATCAAGCATGTTAGAGTAGCAATTGCAATTCAAAATCCTACATTTTTGAAAGAATGTTTGTTCTTTGTATAAATCAGGGTGAATTGATTTAAATTGAAGTGATTGAATTCATTTATTTTTTAATTATGATTTTAATCTGCTATAAGGACATCTTGACTTAAATCATCAATTTTAATCTTCTTTTGCAATTGTATTTTTAAATTATTTTCCCTGAAGAAAGATTTAAACATGTGATTTGCAGTTAAATATAACCGTTACACTATATTTAACTGCATTTAGCACTTGTTTTTGCTATTCAGGATGATACATGGCATCTATACACTTACTGAAGCAATTATATAACTTAACACATTTATTCAGATTCTTAGTTTGTTTTTATTTTAAGAAATGCATCATTGATCATTTTCTATTTACTAATTGATGGATAATTTTATATTTGATTTGTGTTAAGCTACATTTGGATGGAAATTTGAATTAAAATACACAAAATCAGAATTTTAAAATGGTTTTACATTAGTTAAATAAAAATGTGCTGGATATATAAAAACAAAATAAGATTATCAAAATATGTTTTGTATTTAGAACTCTTTGTTTATTAAAGAAAGTATGTTCTGTTGTTAATATGTTCAACTGATTGTTTCTGGACACCAGTCCTTCAAGATTTTAGAAGCAGTAGCTCTTATCCTCAAACTTAATTTTTATTCATCGATTGGTAAAGGAAAACAAGGCTTTCTTTTTTCAACTCCTTGTTGGTATAAACTCTGAATGAACTAGTCAGTGAACTGAACTAAATGAATAAGCTAAAATGAAGTAAATATTCTCTATATCTGCAGACTGTCAAACGCTGCTATAGTGTTTCAGTGAACTCTGGTTCCAGGTGTTCAGCTAGTGACTTAGCCAATATAAAACCACAGAACTGGTGAAGTACATGTACTGCTTGAATATTTTTAATTTAAATTACTGTAATTATACTAAGTATAGACCTTAAGATAGGGTATTATCTTCAAATTTAAACTTAAAATATGTTTATTTTAAAGAAAAATGTATTTAAAGGTCAAAAAATCCAGTTTAAATAAAGTCTAATTGTAAAAAAAAAATCTGTTGTTTACTCTGCTACTGAGTCAATCAGAGCTATTGGTAAATTCTAAAATAGCTTGCTTTTGGTAACTAATATGCTTCTGCCTGATGCTCATGCTCAAAAACATAAACTTGCTAATTAAAGTCTGGACAGATTTTTTTTATGTATATTGAAACCTCTTTAAAGAAAGTTCAAGTTAATGTTTAAAAAAATTGAGCAGACTGGACATGAAAGATTTGGGTGAGGAGACTTCTGTAACGTGTGTGGTTGGTTTGCTTTCCAGTAGAAGACCTGGTAGTTTCAAGAATGAAAAACAATAAAGTGGAGCTGAAGACGAGAAAATATTAAATGCAGGAAAAAAAGCTATTTTTCTTTAATCATGCTGTAGTGTTACCTTTAACGGTACCCTCTTCTTGCCATTTGATTCCTTACTTTCTTTGATAACGTAATCATTTCACATTAGGTTTTTAAGTATGGCAAGTCACTATTTAGAGAATTAAAGAAATTGTCCTCTCAAGTTATGTCTTCAGTTAGAATCTATATTTCTAAGAAAGCCTATTTCTTTGCAATTCAGAGGACTGCGTCTTCTGGAAGGAATATTTATAATGTGAGCCAGATGCAGTGGATGGAGTTAGTTTGATGGAATGTTTGGCAAAAACTTCA